CTTTTCCCATTATTGATCCCTTCTTGACTTGAAATGTGGTACTGTATGAAACAGATATATTAATATCAAACAATCCATTGATCATTTCTGCCCCCCACCACACACACAACTTTTGTTATTCAACTTAGTAATTTCTGTCCCTCTGTCTCTCTCTTCTACTACTAGTACTACCAAATCTTGGGCTTTGTTAACTTTTATCTCTAGGTTAATTCCTAATGTGTTACCTTTGCTTCTCTTGCTTTCTATTTCTTCTTTGGTTATTTTCTGACTACAAGTTCTACCCCACTATATCTTCTCAATGTTTTGTTTATCACGAAAAATATTAACCTTCTTTCTCTATTCTTACAAGACCTATATTCTACACACTGTAATTTCTTCAAGTTTTCTTTTTCCTCTTCTGCCCAAGATTGCAAACTTTTCCCTACATTTCTCAACTGATAAATTTTCCTCTGCTAATCCATCTGCTCTAGCACCCTAACATTAAGGAGTGACATAATGATGTAAGAAAGATTATGTATGGCGTACACATTTACAGTCATTGACTCATCTACTTATTTAACAACAATTTACTAAATGACATCACGTGTTGGGTATTGAGGATACAGTGATGGAAAATAAACATCCATGGATGCATGATTTACTGAGGAAACAAACATTAAATAAATATGCATATCAATAAAAATAAGTGCTATAAAGGAAAAGGTATAGACTGCTGTGAATGATTATCATAGGAGGATCTAATTTAGAATTTGGGGGTTAAAGAAAGAAATGTAGGCTGAAACTGAAAGGATGGGGGGAAAATTCTGATCTAAGGGAAGAGTAGTAGGTAGGTAGATTTGAAGTCAGGAGTTTTAGACCAAGAAAAATAGAATTTTCTGAGGATAAAGCATAGTATGTGCAAATTCCTGAGATAAAAAAGTGCTAAAGGCCTTGTAAGAACTGAAAGAAGGCATGTGTAGCTGGAATAAGGAAAGTCAGGGAGGATCAGGTAAATTTTAAGCTGGAGTTTTGGAC